GACTAGCTTCTTTCCCTCTAGTCTTACACTGCTAAATTACGGACGGCTAGCGCAGATAGCCCTCGTGTAGCTTTGCGCGAAATTCAAAACAAACAAACAAGGTATGGTTATATGCTCACTTGTGATATCGTAGTGCATTTTTAATATATTCAGATGAAGTTTTAATATTAAAAGCTGGACGAGAGTTAAAGTACCAGATTATATTAACAAAATGTGTTTTTCGTGTTGGATTGCTTTTGGTCATGAAGAACTGAAGCATATGTCGGTAAAAGAGGTTTGACTTCATAATTCAGATAGCCAACATTTCTTCCTTCGGATATTTGTTTTATAATATATTTAGGTTTAGAGAAACAATTATTCATTATTGATATATTTCGCAGGTGTACAAGTATTAATGTCAAAATTAAATCGCATAAGAACTGGTGTAGTAAGTAATATCTTTACTCGTACTTAATATTTGAACTGTAGTAATAAGTTTCATGAGTTTTCCTCACAAACGTTTTAAACATTGAAGCAGGAAAAACTCGTGTACAATGAACTGGCCTTTCCCGAAAGTAAAGCACACGTGCTGAAGAGAAGTAATCAAACAGAATACGTGCACGTTGACCGTCTGGGAAACAGCAGTCTTCGATCCTGTCCAGGCTTTGAGAATGCGGAAGAGTTAGATGGCTACTCTGTGGAGACGCCATTAATGAAAAGTCTTAAAAACGAAAGAAGGGTAGGTATGCCTATCGTTAATCACGCACAAAAAAAAAGGTTATCACTCTGAAATAGTGACATATCAGGCATTTTAAGTCGTTTAAATGTCACTAATTTGTTATGTAAGTTAGAACAGCATACTTAATAATCTATATGTGTGTGTATCTTTTATTACTAGATAAAAACCATGTTTATAGAGATCGCCGTTTTCATAAACTGAAAACAGTATGGTTAGGCATACTATTCTTATTTTACACATATATTAACCTATCAAAAATTGATAATAAATTCTATGACACGCTACACTTTTTCTGATTAAATTAATCGAAATCAGAACACAAATTTAAGAGTGTACTGTGGTTTTTGTGTTTCTTAAGTGTTTTCGAAGAATCTACTATAAAGAAGAGGCTCTAATTGTATTGGTCCAAACAACTGTATTAGTATGTTTAAGGATAAATTAAACCATATGTGAATATTTAACATATTTACTGAATACTTGGGACTTTGTTATCTCCAATGAATATGTAGAATATTTTTCTTCCTTCAGGAAAAACATATTTACATACATATACAAAATAATTAAAAACTATTTAATTTTTCCTGATAATTTATGTATTTCATTACTTATTCAAACTTTAAGCATTGCAATAACTAAATAAATATTTCCTAGGAATTTAGTGTTACACCGTAATAAAATATCACAGTATCACGTGTAGCAGTTAAAAAAATAGAGAAAAAAAACACATTCAACCGAATAAACTATAAGATGTTTGAAATTATAGAAAAAAGTTTCGAAAGATTAAGTTATACTCGTGAATTTCACGTTGTCTTTTTAGCAGGAAAATGTTCAACAACGCCTACGTTAACCCGGAACATTGAATTTCCTTAGGACACAGGTAGTAAGCTGCTCAATTTCAACAAACCTGAGGAGGGGGGCACAAATTAGATAGGCTTAATTAAGCTACTTTCGACTATTCTTCTTTGTTATGTATTTATCCACTTTGTATAAAATAAGAATCTCTCACATGAAGGAAAATAGCATTACTTGTGTTTCCATATTTTTTTATGTTCAGAAACACTCATGCAAACACTTCTTCCACTTTCACCTACATAATATTTCTCACAGGAGTAGCAATGTATTATATAAACAGCTTGTTTTCTTGTTTTTTTTCGGGTGTTGGTCTAGTTGATATTAAGTTATCATTAATGGAGTTTGAATATTCGTATGTGATTCTAAAGTTGTTTTTCCTCAATATTTTTAAGAAGGTAAAAGTTTTGTGTTACAGCCAATAAAGTGGTTTCAAATTATCGTTGATTGGCCTTTCTTTGTTTTCATGGAACAATGTTTTCTTGCTCTAAGATGGCAACTTGTTGGTAAACATCTTAAACAGATGTACAAAATGGCCATGAAAATCCTAATTTCACCGATACTGTGCAACATTCTCGTAAATACGAACCATTCAGTAATGTCATGGTTCCAATATGATGATGATTTTCTGTGTGCCCAAACCAAAGAAGTGATTTTGAAAACTTTTTGAATAAATTTAATCAGCTACACCTCTCTATCAAGTTGAATATAGAAAATTTAATAAATTTCCTTTCTTAGATATGTTCTCTATACCAAAAACCAACAAATTCTTTAACCTATCGCCCGGGGTATCCTTTACTGCACATGACACAAGGTTTTAGTGTCTTACATTCAAAATTTTATTAAACTGTTTTTGTTTATGTTATACCAATTAGAATAGAATAAAATGTTAGCTAATTATCCATATTTTAATAGTATACAAGTTGTAAGTTCTTATTTCTTCAAGGCAATATTTAACAAAATCCTGAATTTCCACTAGTGTGACCCACATAACACATTTTC